TCTATCTATCTATCTATCTATCTATCTATCAAATTTCTACACCTCCCAGCTCATCTAAGTGACTCTGGGCTGTTTACAAACAACATGTACTAATACGTAGTAGCCTATGTCACAAATTCTTCACGGAATGACAAAACATACATTTACAAAGTAACCCTTAAACCTAGGTGAGTTATTAGTTTTAAGCAATAGTAAATGTGATATAAGAAAACTGAGCTCCAATAAGTTTGTGTTTATTTTTATCAATAGATTTAATTTTGTATTAATATAGTAGATTTTTTATCTTTGCTTCCAGTGACTATTGCTTTTATTCCTAATTGATATTTAACTTTGAGTACAAATAATTAAAAGAAAGGTCCTTCTGACCCTGTTTGAAATTCAGTTCTTTTCTCTACTTCAATTCCCTGTGTAAATAACAAGCTTAAGCATCTTTCCACTCATATTTATATAACACATTGACATCAAAGGCATGTTCTATTCTGGACTGATTGAACCAGCATCGTTCTATATAGTACTCCTTGGACAATGCCATGTACCATCAAGACTAATAACTTCATTTTTATCAAACAAGAGTTTCCTCAGAAACTCACCCCTCCAACAATATATGGAATATTTGTGGGTAGGCTTCAATATCATTTTTGACCCTTTTCCAGTGATTGGCCAAGCTATGGGATATGATGTTGTCTTGCCTATTTCTGACAAGCTATTCTTGCTTCCATCTAAATGTTAAAGAATTCAGTTTACTTTCTTGAAGATCCAATCACCTTATGTTCTCTTTTGTACTTCCAGTTATCTTTTGCAAATCTGACTGTTACTGTTAGTGGATAGGTGTACATGATGATAAAAAAATAAATGCAAAGCAATCCAACTGGATAGTTTTCCACAGCAGTTTCCTTATTTAGCTGGAGAGTCTATCTCCAGTACAAATATTCCAGAGATCATGCAGTTATTTGAAATAAATGTTAATTGACAGAACTACAATCAGTTTAGCACAAAACCACTTTCAATATGGCAATACTGAACTGATAATTATATGTCAACTGCATTTAATCCCAGCAGGGTGCCCCCAGGTGTAAAGGTTGTTGCAGCTGCCTGGCTAAACAGGCATTTTTATTGGGCAGCAGCTAGATAGAAGGATAATGGAGATGGCTAACAGATTGGAAAAGGTCAGTCTACATAGCTACACCAAAGGAAGGAGAAAAAGAGAATAACCAGCAGCAAAATGAATGGACTTGTGATAATGGGCACACTGTTGGAAGACCTGAAGCACTAGATTAAGGATAGATTGTCATGGACAAAATCTATTTGTGATCTCTAAGAGTTGATATTGACTTGGCAAATAATCAATCAACTGTTTTTGTGAATGACTATTTTGTTGGATTTCTTTTAATCAAGTGTTAGGTGCCCCTAAGATGTATCTGGCAAATAAGAATAAATTTATTATTATTTGAGTAATCCAGCATGTGATACCAATTTGATTGTAGATTTGATTTCATAATATCACCTAAAAATTGAGTTCTTTTGGTTTTTATTCATTTCAAAATAGTTTCCAGCAATGATTTTTTTGTCATAGAATGCACCGGAACGGCATCCGGCACCTTTTTTTGACAGATTTTTCCAAGTTTTAACATGGTACATGTTTCCCCAAAAATAATATTAAGTATATTATTTTTGCCTCCAAAAGAAGCATTCAGTCTTAATTTTGGGGGGTGTCTTATATTTTTCGTGACAGCTGCCTCGCCTCGCAGCAGCGGCACTAACAGCCCTGTCCAGTAGCCTGCGTGGCTGCCGGCCCACTTCTGCTGCGGCCGCTCGCTGCAGGAGGCTGCGTGGCACATCACACCGCTGCTGCCACAACGAGGCAAGGCAGTTGGGGGAGGGGATGGAGCTGCCCCATGCACCCTGCACCCACTTACCAGTACTTCAGCCCCCCCCCCAGCCAGGCCATTCCTTGATCAGCGACCTTTCACTCCCCTCCTGAGCCGGACTGCCATGCTACGGTGGATGGGATGGGTGGGGTAGGTCCGGTCCCCCTCCGCCATTTCAGAGCCAGGGGGGAGTGACAGCAAACGGCTCCACTGCTGCTATGCACAGCTGGAGGGGCTTTCTTTAAGCTTCACCCCACAGATCACCTGCCTGGGTGCAGCCATCGCCTCCTTGTCCTCCGCCAACTCTCCCGTGGATTGCGCCATGTCCAGGTGGCACAAGCCTCCCCAGCTGCCTGCCTCTGCCAGCCCTTTGTCACCTGTCTCGTGGAAAATGGAGAATGCAGTGGCTCTGCGCAGGGATGCAGAGCAGAAAACAGCACTTGCTTGCTGCCCTGCATTGCCCCGTGTCTCCCTTCTCCCTTCTGGAAATGGCAGCCCCGTTTCCTGCCACTTCTCCTCCTGGCACAGCTCCTCCCTCTTCCTGAAAGCATTTCTTTGCTAACCTTCTTTCCAGCCACTGCATTCTCCATTCTCTGCAAGACATCCCATCCGCCGTAGCATGGCAGTCCAGCTCGGGAGGGGAGTGCCAATCAAGGAATGGCCTGGCAGGGGGGCTGAAATACCAGTAAGCAGGTGTGGGGCACATTGGGCAGCTCCACCCCCTCCCCCACCTTCCTCGTCTTATTATGGCGGCAGCGGCATGATGTGCTGCGTGGCCTCCTGCCCCATTGCGGCAGCGAGGTGGGATGGAGTAGGCAGGGTCCTAACTAGGGCTTATTTTTGGGGTAGGGCTTATATTACCCCCCCAAAAAAATCAGGGTAGGTCTTAGTTTAGGGATGGGGCTTATTTTCAGGGAAACATGGTAACTTTTGAAAATTTGATGTTTGGTCCATGTGGACTTGAATCGCCCTGTCGAGTGTAGCAGGTTGGCGGTGAAATCATTAAAACAGTGCATGCAGGCTGCTTGTATGTCAAGTCCAATGCATGCGTACTTTGTCTGCTCTGGTTGTGATGGCACTGCTTGGCTTGTGGCACTGCTCAGCTTGTGATTGGTCATGTGGTTGCATGCTGAGTGCTTACTACGGGCGGCAACCGTTATGTTTCGTTACACAACTGATGTGTGTGGCTGTGTGTACAGTGATTGACTACGTGCGAAAGGTGAGTTCCGGCACCTTTTTTCTTACAAAAAAAGCACTGGTTTCCAGAAATATCAAAGTAGTCTAAGCAAGATTGCAATATTTGTAGCTTTATAGATCATTAATAGTTTTGGTTAGATTTAAAGATGGTGTTTTGTTTACATGTTTTATTTAAAATATAATTCTTTTTTCTGAACATAGGTTTACAGGATGGCTTATACAAAATTTCCAAGATTGTTGCTGATGCCAAGCATGTAAATGTGAAGCTGTCTTCTTTCAAAATGGTAATCTACCCAGACCCAGATGCACTTCCAGATGTTCAACTTCCGTATGTCTAACTATTATTACAGGGGTTTTTTTTTTATAGTAATGGTCCTTTTTGGTAAATGTCATAGTAAAATTTTAATTTATGAGAGTGGATATAAAAGTTTCAGTTAAATCAAGCATTCCCAGCAGTCTGATGCTTCCTGCTCCTATTACTCCAGTGATTTCTGAAATTCTCAGGAGAATTTTTAAGTTTAATAAACTTACTCTGAAAGTTGTAATTATCTGTTTGGGTGGGGAGGAAGGAAGACTCCAGAACTGAACATTTTTCCCCCTATTTGCCCCATTGAGCAAATTATGTCTTAAAAGTCCTACTTTTGGATATTTCTCTGCGAACATAAAAAGATTAAATCTCCTCTTGTGTTCATTTATTTATTAACAGTAAATGTTAAGCAAATAATTCTTTTTTTAGGATAGTTCCTGCACCGAAACTGACTTCTCTTGATGCATCTCATGCAAGTCTGCTGAATAACACCTGGTCCAGAGGAGGCAGTGACCAATGTCAGAAATACCTCATCAACCTCATTTGCTGTTTCCCCAGCATATGCATTTTGGATGAACATAGATGCCCCATCTCCTGGGGTCTGACAGACCAATTTGCTACTATGATCCACGGCTATACATTGCCCGAGCATCGTAGGAAAGGGTACAACCGTCTCATTGCAACTAATCTAGCTAAGATGTTACACAGCAAGGGATTTCCGGCTCAAGGAAATGTTCTGGAGGATAACCTTCCATCATTAATTCTGCTAAAAAGCATGAATGCCAGATTCTTACCTTGTCAGTTCGTCAGACTTATCCACACCCCTTTTTGCCTTTTAGCTAAACTTGAGTGACCTGGTGGATTCTTTAAAAAAGCTACCTAATTTGGGGAATCAAATCTTGTATTTGATGTTATACACATCTGAACATGTTATGCTATATTTAGACAAACCTTGAAGTCCATTTATGAAATGGCAATGCTATTTCACATTAAAGTTAATGCAACTTTTAAAGGAACAACAGCTGTTTTCAACTGTAGACAGACGCCTGATAAGAGATCTGACTGCTTTAACAAATAATAGGGTAATGGGATTCAAATATGTGAAGAACCAGTTCTGTGTGTGGGGATGCCGCTTCCAGAAGTCCATTCTGGGCTTGGGCAACAAAAAATTAGCTACCTGTTCTGCCGAAGTGGTGCAAACTGGCTGAATCCCACCACTGAGTAGTGCTGTCCTCATGCTTGATTGGAAGCACTTATTGATAATTGTTTTTATAGAATGCAAAGACTTTTTAAATTTACCAACTCAAATCATTTAATCTTTTCCAAACCCTTTGAATATTTACATTCTTTGATTCTTGTATATTCTTTGAATCTACATAGATGTGATGAATATAGTAAGGAAGTAGATCCCTCAAGAGAGAGGGAGGTGCATTTTAGAAGCAATTTAGAGGCAATTCAATTCAGATTTTATGTGTGTGAGAAATAGGGTGAAGACAGCCCTTCCCTTTGCAGAGTATATTCTTTAGTAGTAGAGTGCTTAGTCTGGTAAGATTTTGTGTAGATTTTTACAATTCAGGTTTTAAACAACATATGAAACCTAAATAATATAGAGACCCAGTATGGTCTAGTGATCAAGGTACTAGGCTAGAAAGCTGGATATCATGAGTTCAAGTTCCATCTTAGCCCTGAATACCACATGGGTGACTTGGGCCAGTCACACACTCTCAGGCAAACCACCTCACAGGGTTGTTGTAGGAAAATAGGAGGAAGATGTGCTGGATATGTTCACCACCTTGGATTGTTTGTAAAAATAATAAAGATGGAAGACAAATAAATAAAAAATAAATGTGGAATTATGTTGTTAGATTTTGCCTCTCTGTCAAAATAAAGCCATTTCAAAGGCTGAAGAAACACCTTATGATTTCTTTCTGCTGGATCAATGTAACAAAGCACAGGTTTTGTAAGACATTGGGGAAGGGGTGTAAGTCCAAAACCAGGAATGAGGTCCAGATCATCTTTAGATGTTCCTGGGAATGGCTGGAAGGTAAATCTCTGAAGGAGGTTGGTAAAGAAGAGGAAGAGCTCCATTTTGGCAAGGTTCTCCCCAGCACATACTCTCTGACCTGGAAGGAAACATACATGACAAAATAGTTGGGTTTATTGCTTTCTTAAAATACTTTGAAGTATAGCTTCCCAATGTCACATTGTCCCAAAGGAATAATTACATTCTTAAAGATTTAAATGCTAAAAATATATTTTCTTAAAATATGTTAACCTAGGAATCCTTCTTAATACATATATAAATGCAGCGATTTTTACATTTTCTTCCTTTACATAGGCAATTTCAACCATCTGTTCAAGCTTGAGAGAAAGAAAAATGTGCATCCTGCGAACAAAAATTTTTCTTTGAATAATCCTTGTGGCATATTTAAGCAAATGCAAACACCAAGTTAATGTCATTTTTTAACTGGATTACCTGATAAGTTAACTGGATAACCTGATAAATTGCTAAATTTTATATCAGCATCAATATATTTTGGCAAAGAACATTCATAGTTGTTAATTATTGGCTTTACCTTTAGCATTGCCTTATAAAGCCTTTTCAAATTCATCATGTGCAGATTTCCCAAAATGGATATTGTTCTGGGTCCAGGTGGAAGATGTTCGGAGCTGTTACTCTGGGAACTACCCATTTTGAAAATGAATATAACTGTAAGAATGGATAGTAATACTAATAAAACAAGTCCAGTCCAAGCCATTTTCTTTCAGAACACAACACGGTGGCAAAATAAAGGAAGTCTTGTCTTCAAAGGATCTGTGAGGCATGCAGCTTCCCTTATATAGGGGTAGTGTGAACCTGGTTATTTTCTTTGATGGGTGGAATTCTTTCTGGCCAATAATTTTGCTAAATGCCTTTGTTCAACCCATCTCTCTACCTGACTGGTCCTTGAACGGGGGGGGGGGGAATGTAAGCTCTCCCATTTGGTCTTATAAGGCCAACAATAACTGCTTTCACTGCCTGTGACTCTTCCAAGTGACAAACATTACAAATATTGGGTTATTATCCACATAGGCAGCATCTGCTACCTTCACCTTATAAATGTAAAGTAGAAATTGAACATGTATCTAGCCTTAAATAAGTTTTATGAACTGACTTCACTCTGTAGGACACATCCCAGAGATATAGCAATGACATATATGCAGAAACATTTTCGGGAGTTTGCCAATGCTTCTTTGGGATAAAATCATTTTAACCATATAAGGGGGGGGGGAAAGAATCATAATCATATCTAAAATGATTAAGATATTGTATTTTCCTTTGCATTTTCAAGAAAAATTGAAGTAGAAAAAAACTATAAAAATATTTCACAGAACTTTATTTTGATATTCTGCTCATAAATCAAAACAACTGTTATTTTCCAGATTCAGTCTAAAAGCTTAATATTATGCATCTTCCATCCTGATCTGGGACTTTTTCTCTAGAAGTCATGATAAAGGTTCATATAGCTACTTCACTTTTTTCAATCTATTTAAGGCCATACATTTTTTATAGATATTATTTACATTTAACAGATTGACATCAATGCTTCCAATATGTGTCTGTTGAAGGCACAAAACATGTCTCCCTTCTTTTATTCAACTAAAAAAATCCCCTTTAAAGGAAGGCTATTCAACCTAGCCTTTTAAAGGAAGGCTAACTCATCTGAGCTGTCAGGCTATTCAACCTGACAATACAGTGTTCTAATCAATCTCATCCCAGTTAAACTTCTAATCTGGTAACACAACTGGCTGCCTGTCCAATATATTATTTCAAGGGTTGTAAAGTTTTTAATTTTAATCCTCAGTATATTATCAGATTATATAAAATCAGTTGCTCATCTCTGCCAGTAATTTAGTATTTTTTCCAGTTCTTGTAGGAATATATTTGAACAAAATCTTCAGCTTTGTCAAGATGTTCATCCCAACTGAGACAGTTACAGGTTTTTCTACTTGAGATATCTGCCATTCTGTTTCGAGGAATATCTAGCAATAAGTATCTCTAAATAAACCTTTTTTATTTTTTGTAAAATAAATTCCAAATAATATTAAAAGTTGTTTCCTATTGTACTACTTTGTTTTCCACAGCTACGTTCTGTGTTAAAATGTGATTTTGAATTACCTAATATCCTAACAATAAGGTACACTACTATATATATATAAATTACAATTTTCTGACATATATGTACTTTATTTCTCAGTTATAGTGGTACTGCTGATAAAACACATCAAGAACTGGTCAAAGGAGTAAGCAGACTGAATTGCTTCAATATTTTAGAAGCATTCCTTACCATAAGAATCAGAACAGAAATCTATGTAGCAGATACTGTACATTTGCTACTTTGTCCATGATACATTTTTTGACTCTTGATTCCTTTTTGGATATAAATAGCTGTTTCTTGCCCTGCTTTGTAATTTAATGATGCAAAGGCATCTGCAATATGAATGCAAGAAATTGATATACTTTGGTTAATAATTCATTCTGCAAACACAATTACAAGGGTAGAAGTGTAATTTTAAATTTATTCTCTCATTTGAAGATATAGATTATTTATGCTTTAGGAGTAAGAATGACAGAATAATGATGAAGATACATGTGAAAACAGAATAACAGAGTTGGAAGGGACCTTGGAGGTCTTCTCGTCCAACCCCCTGCTCAAGCAGGAGACCTTATACCATTTTGGGCAAGTGGCTGTCCAGCCTCTTCTTGAAAGCCTCCAGTGATGAAGCACCCACAACTTCTGAAGGCAAGCCATTCCACAGCTTGATTGTTCTGTCAGGAAATTTTTCCTTAGTTCTAGGTTATTTCTCTCCTTGATTAGTTTTTCTCCCAAGAAAGCAGAACTCTTGAAACTGGAATTGTTTCAACAAGAACTTTTATTGAGAGTTAATGATAGCAGTAGAGCAAGGCAATATCTAAATTCTTCCCACGCAAAATGTCATATTAAAACTGCCCTTTCAAACCCCTCCCCAGTGTCTAACCATCCGATTTGATTTTAGCCAATCCATAGGTGTGAAGTTGTTATGAGAACCAGAGCAATAAAATGCAGTTCCCAAGGTTTCCGTGGTCCCATCTCATCCAAACGGAGATAAGGCAGATGGCCGCAGGCACATCCCTCCCACCTTTTACACCCACAGAGCATCACTTCAAAGAAGATAGAACAAAGCAAAAGAAATACATCTCAGAGCCCACAGAACCTCCCCCCTCTCAATAGAATGGCAGTAACCGGAAATGCATTGAGGGTCTGACACTAGGATTGCATTAGCTTTTTTTGGTGGCTGCAGCACACTGTTGGCTCATATTTAAATGATTGTCCACTAGGACTCCAAGATCTCTCTTGCAATTATTGCTATTGAGTCATGTTTCACCTAATCTGTACCTGTACATTTGGTTTTTCTTGCCTATGTTTAAAATCTTACTTTTATCTACACTGAATTTCATTTTGTTAGATAGGGCCCAGTGTTCAAGTCTGTCAAGATTTTATCTGGATCATAAGCCTATCATCAGGGCTGTTGGCTATTCTTGCCAGCTTCATGTCATCTGCAAATCTGATGAGTTCCCCTTCTCTTCTCTCAACTAAATTGTGTATAAAGATATTGAAGATTACTGAGTCAGAACCTTGGGGTACCCCACTGCTTACCTCCCTCCATGTAGATGTAGTTCCATTAAGTAGTTGTAAGTAACTACATGTAGTTGGAACTAGAGAAGGGAACCTCATCAAATTTGCAGTGGGGTACCTAAGGTTCTGTTTTAGGCCTAGTAAACTTCAATATCTTTATAAATGATTGTAGATGTAGTTCTATTAAGGACTACATGCGTGTAGTTTGTCAGCCAGTTATAAATCCATCTGGTGGTGATGCTGTCTATCCCACATTTTTCTAGCTTAGCAAGAAATAGATTGTGTTCTACATTGTCAAATACCTTATTGAAACCCAGGTATGCTATGTCCACAGCATAACATTGAACCCAAGCAGTCTAGAATCTGGACTTTTTCAATTATTATTGTTGTTTTTTTTGCTAACATTGATAAACTGTAACAAACAAATGCATTTATATATGTGTAGAATTATTGTGAAAAAACCTATATTGCTTAAATAACAAAAAGCAGAACTAACAAAATTGAAGAGGATAAAAAATAGTAAAAGATAAAAGGAAACAAAACAAAATAATCAATAAGGGTACAAATTACTTAGCATGATTTCCCTACTCTTTTCACTCTCGGAATCTAGATTTTGTGTGCATGCAAATAATTATAGTACAGTTTCAGACAGCCTCTTAAGCCAAGACCATACAGAATCACATTATCCAAGGCTGAGAAATGGCTATCATGAAGGCCTTTTGTCTTATGAACATGGAATAGCACAGGTCTTGTAGGGCATAGGAGGGGTTGTAATTCCAACTGCAGGTGTTAGATCCAGGTCATCTTTAGATGTTCCCGGGGGTATCTGGAAGGTAAATTTCTGCAGGAGGCTGGTGAAGAAGAGGAAGAGCTCCATTTTGGCAAGGTTCTCACCTGCACATACTCTCCGACCTAGAAGAAAGCATACATGGAAAAAAAAGTGCTTATTGGTTTCTTTAATTATTTTACATAGCTTCCCAATGTCAGATTGTCATGGAGAGACAAATAAGACAAAACATTATGACAAAACACTCATGTAAAATACAGCAATAAAATAAAAATGAATTGTATCATAAGCATGCTAATCTTAAAAGAAGGCTGAACCTTCCTAAGTACCATTCTACACTGATTGATTCTACAAGCTAGTAAGGACTGTGATGTTGATGTTGTCGTGCACCTTGACACCAACAACCTGTCTGTCTGTGCAGAAAGATCTCCAGAGCTTGCAGCGGGAACTTAGCAGGATAGGCTATAGTCTTATCTTTTCAAGGTTTTACCTGTATATAAGGAGCAAAAAGGAAAAGGCCAGCATATAATGGAGTTCAATGTGTGGCTAAAGGAGTTATATTAGTTATGATGTCTGCAGGAGGTCTGATGAAAAGCTGTACAAAAGAAATGGTTTGCATCCATCAAAGAAGGAACTGAGTTACTTGGCATTAAAATCAGGGATTTTCTGGAGAAATATTTAAACTAAATAATGGGGACAGAGAGTTAACTGATGCAGAACATTTCTGTCCCCAGCAATCTAAAACTAATAGGGTTATACTTGTAACATAGTACTTGTAACATAGATGTCTGTGAGGGTAAGAATATCAACCTTTCTGTCAAGGAAAATCAAGCTTTTGATAATGTGCACCATACCATCATGTGCACTAATCAAACAGGTGGTAAGGAAGTAGGGGAACTCAGACACAAAACAGTAAATATAGGATCAGTCAAAAAGGACTCAAATGTGTCTACACCAATGGACAGAGTATGAAGAATAAACAGGGTGAATTAGAAATTCAAGTAAAATGTGGGCAGATATGATATTGTTGCCATTACAGAAACTTGGTATGATGAAACCCATCAATGGAATATACAGCTAGAGGGATTTAAATTATTTAAAAGAAACAGACCAAATAAAAAAAGGAGGTGGAGTTGCACTATATATAAGAAATAACTACATCTCTACAGAAATAGAGCAGAATAATGATGAAAACTGTCTTGAATGCATTTGGGTCAATATAAAAGGGGGAAAATGACATTGCCACAGGTTTATACTATAGGTCACCTAACCAAACAGAGGAAATAGAGAACGTTTTGCTAGTCAGTTAACTAAGGTATGTAGGAAGCACATCACAACAGTAACAGAGGACTTTAACTACTCTGACATCAGCTGGGAGGCAAACTGCACTGAGAGAAAGATCAGGTTCCTGACAAACCTAGCAGAAAACTTTCTCTCCCAAAAAGTAGAGAAGGGAACTAGGGGATCAGCCATATTCTCACTAACAGAGATAAAATGATAGAAGGTGTTGAAGCCTTGGGGGGGAACCTTGGGGGGGAGTGATCATGCAATATTGGAATTCAACATTATGCAAGCACAAGCAATAGAACATAGTCAAACTAGAGTCTTAGATTTTAAGAGAGCTAATTTTAATAAACTTAGAGAGAGATTGGGAAGGATTCCATGGATGAGAATTCTCAAGGGGAAAACAACCCAAGAAGCTTGGGAAACTTTGAAAAGTGGGATTATAAAAACGCAGTCTAGCACAATACCAACGAAGAATAAAAATAACAACTCTCAAAAGAAACCGGTATGGCTGCATAAAGAACTCTTTGATTAATTGAAAGACAAAAAAAAAAGTATAAAAAGTGGAAAGAGGGACATATAACTAAGGCA